GGGGCCGGGGGGGGGCCTGTCTGCGATGGTTCCTCTTATACGTGAGAGGAGAGTGGGCGTGCGCGGCTGTGGGCAGCACCAAGGCCTCTGGGGACAGCCGGGCCACCTCCTGGTCTTCGCTCCCGCTCCGTGGCCCTGTGAGCGCAGGAGGGTGCACAGAGGGCAGCACCCTGCGGGCAGCCCTGCCTCGGGGCCGCTCCCAGCCGAGCGAACCTGTATCTTGTGTTTAAAGAGAGCCGCCTGCTTCAGGCCTTGTAGGTTTTTAGTAAAATCTTACCGAATAGAAAAAAAATCCTTTAATACAACAGGGTTTGCAGTTACTTTAAAAAAACAAACCGCAAATTACTTCAAGAGGCACGTGCTTTTCCTGGGAGATGAATAGAATGTGATCTGAATGTCTTCTGATGTAAACACCAGGACAGCAGGTCTGAAATGGTAGACCCTGCAGGAAGGGAAGGATTTAGTATGAACAGCGAAGGTCAGTCTTGATTCCATGAGTACTGGATGTAAGGAGTATAAAAACTTAGTTAGATTGATGTCGTAAATAGGTTGTCCTTGAATGTTGTCCCTTAAATAGTCTCATTGAAAAGTCAAATAGAGAGGAGCGCTGTTGCTTAGGTTGTGAAGATGATTATTGCACAATACAAAAAGCACAATCTTTCTAGAGTAGAATTGCAGAAAATTATTTAAGTAGAGCTTCTTGTCCCACAATGCTCTCTCTTCCCCCCCCCCTCCCCTTCTCTTTTAGGAAATATAATCACCATGTCGTCTGCACTATTGCCTAAGCCACAAATGCGGCGCCTTTTGGCCAGGCGGATGAAGTTTCACCTATTTGGGGCATTTTTTGTATCTGTGGGATGTGCGGCTTTGTACAAGGTGAGCTCTGTGGTCATTCAGTTATAAACTGGACTCAGTAGAGTGTTCTAAGAATTCATAATATTTTTTTGTTGAGATTTGGTTGAGCTGTTCATCAGAAAGCTTTAGTAATGTATTTTTGTAAGCATGTTTCCAGAACATAAATAAATCTTCCTAATCTTCATTTGAAGAAATGATATGAATAGCCTGATGCTTTAAGCTGTGTGATCAAGATCACACAATTCGTGACAACTTAACCTTGAGTCTCCTAGTCCTAGACTACTCTTGATCATTCGCACGATTGATGCGCATTAACTCTAGATAGTCTGTGTAGCTCTCTGTCACTGTATGTGAGACTCGAGAGAGTTGTCAAAGTCTTATTTTATCTGTAGATTGATTTCAGAAAACTTGCTCATAACCAATTTGGAAAACCCATCCTTCACACTGAAGATATCAGCGTGGGGAAGGCTAGTATGGTCCTTTTATCCTTTCTTTTGAAGTTTCACGTGGAAATGGAGCATTACCTTTCCAAAAAACCCCACTTACAGATTGGAGTTTGTTTTTCGTGGTCCTTAAGAGACTTCTGACAAAGATAAGAGTGGTAGTTGTTCTTGAGTGCCTTTATTAAATAATTCTTGGATCTCATACACAAAGCAAGCAACACACTTTGAATTACTGTGGAAGGACTGGATCTTGGTTTGCCCATTGAACTCATTCATATACTATTTGCAGCATTTGAATACTCGGGAAGGTATTGATAAAAGTGACTAGAAATTAAGTTAATTTCAGGTTGTTCATCACAAAAATATCACAGTCGACTTAAACTTCTCAGAGATCGACAAATATCTATTAGAAACAATAAGCTTGCACAGTTAAAGCTCAAGATCTGCTTAACACGTCTGTAGGCAAGCTTGTTTGTGGTCAGGCTTACAATATAATTTTTTTAATAGTCTGTGGTTTTATACCTTATTTGGCACCCCCACGTTAATACACTAGTAAGGCAGCAGACCATGTTTAGAACAAATAACATGGATCTCAGTAGTGGTTTACTTCGTTACATGTTAGATACTGTTGGACAAACTCATCTTGGGCTTTCCTTCACATTTTTGGGGGCTTTTTGAGAATATCCCTGTGCTTCAGGTGAATGAGTATCCAAGGAGTCAGGATTGTGCCTTTTTATGTCGGTGAGCTGTAGGAGTGGCTTGGCAGTCTTGTAAAATTTTACCAGACTTCTGTAGTTGACCTACAGTGTAGCTCAAATGTAATACACCGTTTTAGGATGCCATTCTATCTGGAGTTACAGTTTTGCAGCTGCCCACAGGCACAAAACTTGCCATAATGGCATGTTTTACATATAAAACTATTAGCAGGGAGGGCATTGGACATTTGAGTGTCAATATAGGTGGAGTGTTTCTGGATCTTAAAAGTGTAATGTGCTATCTTATAATGGACTTTCTTTTTAAGGTTTCACTTCAGACATTTGTTTTCCTGACCAATGCTCAGGTAGCCTGAACTGTGGATTTGAACAGGAACAAAGTAATATTTTACTAATTTGAGCTAAAGGCTTTTTAGACTGATATCCACTAGTACAAATAATAGCACTAATAGAAAAAAATCTCTGTTCGTAAAGCTTTGCAAGCTTTAATTTTCTGTGTGTTACTTTCCAGTTTTTAATTGCCGATCCCAGAAAACGAGCTTATGCAGAGTTCTATAAAAACTATGATCCCATGAAGGACTTCGAAGCCATGAGAGCAGCTGGTGTGTTTGAGTCTGCACCGCCCAAATGATGGTAACCTGCATTTACAGGTAATAAGCGACTCTGCATTAGAACAAGAGTAACTGAGATTATTTCAGTGAAACATTCTGCTTCTATTTGGAGTTTCTTCGTTTTTGATCAAATAGAAAGGTGCTCCCAAAGAAAAGGATACAGATTGCACTCGAGAGACCTCCGGGTAATAAAAATGAAGAAATACGGGAACTGGGGAGTAAGGGCAGAATAGAAAGCTCCTGAATACCTTTTGGTTTATTTGTTTAACCTGTGTGATATAGGAGGCTTGCACAGAGTGACACAGCCATGGAGAGGAGACAGAGCTCTTGCATTAAACTATAAGACTTGCCTGATACCACTGTTATACTGATGCTGTCACATCTTGAACTATAGATAGCTTCGGGCTATCTATATCTACTACTCAGGTACTTGTGGTGGTACAGTGAATGAGAAAATGGAGAGGCTGTTTCTCTCTCATAGCATGCATCTTAATGTAAGAAACAGAGACAGCTTCCACACATCCTTTTGTCTTTTGAAGTTGGTGAGAGGGGGAAGATAACTAGTCATGAGGGGAAATATATTCAAATACATACATACATATAAAAAAATCGCAATGGCATACAGCTCCGTGTACTAATAGTCAGATCTTTGCCATACTGAATTAAGCTTGGATAGAACTTTTTTTCATGATACTGTTTTCCTAGCACTTAACACTGCCTTTTGTTTGAAGACTACCAAACTTTGTTCTCCCTTACTTCTTGTCATAACACCAGGAAGAAAAAGTCTTGATTTCAACCTTGTCGTAGTTATTAATAAGCTCACTCACTAAACTGCACAAGCTCATGATGTGACAACTCAATAAAGAATTCCTCCCTCTTTCTTGATCCAAATGTCTTATATTGAGTTCTCTGCTTCTCTTAAAATGACTTCAAACTAATCTAGAATGATAGCTTTTTCATTCTTTTGGAATGTTTTCATATTGTGATCATTACGTGATAATCTGTGGCTCTAATTATCCCAGCCAGCTGGATTTTCTCAGCCTGTTTGCGTAAAGCAGCAAGATTGAATAAAAGATTTGTACTTAACACTATTAATACTAAATTCTGTTGTGTGACAATCTACAACTATCTGGTTTCTGCATAACACAATTACATAGAAAAAGCAGAGCTCCAGCTCTTCTAACAAATTGTAAAAGAAAAAAAAGAAAAAAAATGTGGCAGTCCCTTTGGTTGGTTTTTTTTGTGAGAGGGGGAAACTTCTGTTCTTTAGCTATGACCGCAACAAAGATAAATAATGAAATGATAAATTTACCTGGTTTTAATCTTGGTAATTCTGCCTCTGGTTTGGTCCTACTGCTAATATATAGGTACTTTTAAACTTTCTTAGATACTGGAATTGCATTCTTTAGTCAGGTGGCCTTCATCAGAGTATTCTGAAAGGCCATCTGGTGGTAAAATCATTTGAAACAAACACTGTCAACAAGGATGCATGTTGAATATTTAATTGGAATCATGAGCAGGATTTTTTTCAGTGCAAATAAAGCTCCACTCTCAGTTAGCTTATGTTCCCATTTGCAGCTTAAAAAAAAAAAGTTGCACATTGTGTGCACCTGTTAAAATTAAATGTTTCCTAAATATTTCTTCCATTCCTTAATTACACCAGCCCAAAAGAAAATGTGAAAGACAAATCTTTATACGTGATTTTGTTTGAATTGCTGATACTTCTTATTCCTCAGCCTACTTCTATAGAACTGATATTTTTCATGCCTTCATAGTAGAAAGAGGTTGGTTTTTTTGCGCCTGCACATGAATACATAAGTAGAAGAAGGGGAAAACAACGCCAGTGTTTCAAATGTTCTGGAAAGACTGTGACAAGGACAAGTACACAGAACAGATGGAAGATGTTTTCATTTGCCTCGGTAGTTAAATCTTAGCTATGGAAGTTGGATGGAAGTTGAATTTGATGCTTTTTTTTGGTATAGTTACCTAAAGGGTACAGTGGTCATGCATGCTCTACATCTCCCATTTTATTGGAATATATTCTGTATCTGGCAGTAAATACAGTGGTTTAACCTCATTGAATACTCACTCTGGAATCAGTACTTAGCCCCAAAATTGAGGAAAGGGAGGAGAATTCATGAGTTAGGAGTTAGCTTGGCACTCTGCACCGAGTTTGTTCCTTCTGGGCATGTCTACTTGGTATGGACTTTGTGTGGTGATACTGGTAAGGGAAACTGAGCACAAGTATAAATTTGAGGAGTATCCTACCTCTGCAGTGTGCTCAGTAAGAGAATAAAGAGGCAAGCTAAGAGTTCAGTGCTAACCACTTGCATGACTCTTGTCATGGAGCACAGCTGGTCTTGGATTGTGTTCAATATAATGTGGAGAAGCAATTTGAATTTGGTTTTCTTCCTTCCTTGGTAGGTTGCCTACACCACTTGTTTCCTCTCTGGCTCCTATCTGAAAGCTGCATTCCTTTCTCTTTCAGGCCCTTAGCAAGATTGATTCAGTTATCAGTGCAGCATGTATAGTGAATCTGATGTGCTGTGCAGTATTGTTCCAGCTCTTGATTTGTTCCATGTTTCACTTCTGTTTGCCACATGAAGGGTGTGTGAATCTTAAACCATCAGGAAATAACAGGGGGAATTCCTCTAGACTAAACCACCACATAAACGTTTCTCTCTACTGCTTTGCATTCATACATAGTAATAAGTTTAATTAGAGCATGAAGTTTGTCCCACATAATTTTTTTTTTTTTTTATCTTGCAGATCCCCTTCAGTCTAAGGAGACTTGATGACCGAACCTTATTTGTTCACTGAATTGTAAAGTGTAATGCACTTCAGTGCATGGCACGCTCTAATGTAACTCAGTAAATAAAATACATACGTCAGTGGCGCTTGGTTGTCTTCATTAATGTTAAATGTTTAAATGCTCAGATGCTGGGAAGAGTGGTGGAAAGTCTTCATAAATTGCTCAAGGTGACTCAGTCTAGTTTTCTTTCCCCCAGGAATTATTTGCATCTCTCTCTTGGCCAAATTCCACATTTGATAAGAAAAGTATATCCCTAAGCAGTTACCGCAAGGTTATCCCAGCTGCTGATGGGAATATGCGAGAGGATAGTTGTTACAGGAAAGGAGAGGCTGGATTTCTGGAAGGGTCTGTGTTACCTCTGGCTTCACAAGGTGAACTGACCTTGAGAGAATTTGGAGAGGAATTCTGGAAGTACACTAGCCAACCTTCCTACCTTTTTCTGCTGCCATGACTGTATTGCCTTCCTTACAGCAGCGAACTGTTACATCAAGACTTGTAAAGTGTGCAAAAGCCCACTCTACGTGGTGTGTTACTCTGACTGGAAAATGGCTCTGAACGGCAGGTATGTTCACAGATACCTGATGTACAAGGGGAAAGAGGGTAAAAGCAGACAAAATAAGAAATACTTATTTTAGGGTATTATGGTAATGAAAATCTTTGCATGCTGCTTCTAGACATGTATCATCTCCTTTTTAGTATCTGGAAGTAGTCAGCTAAGCATAGTTTTGATCTCTGCTGCATTCTGTGTAGTCCAAGACCCGATGCTTTATCTTCTGCCGCAACACCCATCATTTGGAACGTGCTTGGTGCATTGCCTGTTGCTGCGGTTGAAGAGGGAACGGGGACTGTAGCTCTGGATTGCTGAATGTGGGTACTAGGAGAGGACTCAAAGCTGATGATTGTGTGGAAGGAGGGAAGGCTTTGTACGAAGAAGCATGACAAATTGAGCCATCTGTGTTGTATTTGAAGGTCTTCAGTTCAAATCCTGTTGGGAGTAACTCCTATTATTTTAAATGGATCATTAACTACTTAACACTTAATAGGTATCCGTGAGCAACATTTGGACTAATGAAAGCACTTAAGTAATGTACTTGATCCAGCACACTATTACAGAGCAACATGGGATTGTCTTTAAACTTTCCATACAGGCAGTGCTTCCTTTAAGCAAAGAAAGAATTTGACATTAGTGGTACAGGGGAAACTGTCTAGTAATCAAAATACCCCGCTCTTATAAATGTAAACCAGAGCTTAACAATAGCAAATGATACCCATTTATCTTCCCGATGTACAGTATAAACACTGTGTGCCATTAAGTACTGACTTAACATTTTCTCAGGCGTGTCTGCAGGTTTAAATAGCCAGGGGTCTTCAGTCATACTGACAGCTTCAGAGGCAAAGAAACTTGCTACTGCCAGGTGCGCAGGCTAATAGACCTGACTTCCCTTGCAGCTCTTTTCAGTTGCTATGAATTACTTTACTTTTAAATTCTAAGTTTCTTCTAAACTGTTATAGACAACAGAAGTTATTGTTGTAGTCTGTGTTCCTTCAGTTACCAGCATGTGTTGATTTAAAGAAATGAGAGTTTTGTGACTGAAGATGATGATAGCTTTTTGACCATGCAGCAGAGCTCCAAGATGTCTCTGGCTAAACATCCTCAACACCACCACAGAAAGGCGAGCTCTTTTACGTCTGTGCTTTGAGAGGCTGCAGGTTGCAATTGTTGCTTTCTGCGTATGAGGTTTCACAGTGGATGCAGAGCAAGTACTTCCTTTCAGCAGGCAATGCCAACCAACTCGTAGCTCGCTTTCTGCTGGCGTGGGAAGGGAGGGCAAAGCTGGGTGCCTGAAGCAGGAGTAGGCAGAAGAGCTAACCTCCTTTTCTGAAACCAGCACCAACCCATCAATTTTCTCTTTTTTTTTTTTTTTTTTTTTTTTTTTTTTTTTTTTTTTTTTTTTTTTTCTTTCTTTTTGACTTTGCCAGCAGGAGTTTGGCTAATCCTATCTTACAAACAATTGGGAGTGGGACTTTCAGCATAGCACAAGGAGGACCGATGTGAGTTAGACCCTAATCAGCTGCTTGCTGCATGGCCTGGCATGCTGTTTCTAGGAGATGCAGAGCTGAAAAAAACACGCTTGTCAGCTCTGAGACCATCCCAACTCTCTGTGAAGGTTTTTGCTGTATTTATATACGAAATAATACATAAAAAGGAATTGTTTGACCTAAACTACTTTGGGAAAGGTCTTGCCGTGTATAAGCCTGACCATGCCTTCAAATTTTTGGCTGGCTTACTTTATTCTCGAGTGTTTGAAGAATGATTGATTGTTCTGGAAGCAAACGAAAAAGATGATAGATTTGAAGTTGTGAGCTCTCCAGGTCTAAAGAGCATTACGAGAGTAGGCATGTTTTAAGAGTACACATTGGAGTGCTTTAGCAGCTAAGTACAGGCAGCTGCTCTTTGGACAACTTTGTTTTCATAGTTCACACAGCTCATATGCAGGAGAGGCTGATTTATATGCCGTCTCCACACGTTTCCATACATGTGGTCAGAAGGGGGAGAAAGAACCTGCCTAATGCAGTAAAGATGCTAGCTTAAGTCACTGAAGAAGAGTGTAATTTAAGCAAATGTTTATTCCAGGAGAATATCATTCAGGAAAAACACAAATGTATCGATCTTAAACAACGGCTGCGATCTACAAACTTTTAGAAGTGAAACTGCTACGTTCCCTCACTTTTTAGAGGTGCGCTTGCATCCTCTTGGCTGGTTTGTGTACTACATAAATAATGAACAGAGTAGTCTAATTCAAATGGTGACTGCAGTGCTGTTTCGATTCAGTCAGTCACAAAAGCATAAAACTTTTCAGCACGTGTTTTTGGCAAGGTAGTCATCGGTTTTTACTTCCAAACTATTGTCATGATCGATTGCATTTTCTGGTACATGACGAAGTCCAGTGACCAGCTGGAATCTAATGGGGTCTGCGTGAAGCTTGTATGTCTGTCTTGTCATTGTTCTACACAGTGACCTGTTCATTCCCTTGTAACTGAATGACCAAATAGCTCACAAAAACAAGTATTACAGGAATAGCTTTATTATCTTTAAACAATCTCATTATATTACAATTTATCCACCAATATGCAAAATTAGAAGTATTAAACTATTTCCATAAAATATTCCGGAATGAAGCATGTGTGTGTATATACATATACATTTTTTTAAATAGTGTTATTTAAACAATGACTAAGTTATTAAATCACTCTATGAAATGTTGATAACGAACAGGCTTATTTCACAGTCAGAAAAGGACAATGCGGATCCCAGGCTTCTGTATTGTCAGTACACAAGAGACACGGCTTTTAGAAATACCTTTTAACAAAACAGAACTCACAAGAAAAACATTGCAGTTACTACGTTCTTATTTACTGTGCGTTTGGTCATATCAAGTATGCATAGAAGTCATTAACTATAAAGCACATGTATCATCTGCTCCAAATGATGATCAGATTTTATTCCAGTTCTTGTCTTCAATTCCGGCCATGTTCAGGAATCCCCAGACAACATTCACGTCCGTAAGCACACAGAAAAGGGGAGATAAGTAACACGCATAGCTGAAAAGCAATTAAGCTTTTGTTTTTTAAAACAAAACTGCCATAGCCAGATTTGGTTTATAAAGTAACCTAACTGTGCTCAGAGACAGTGATTTCTTGTCTACTACAAACTGTAAAACCTCTGAAAAATAAGACACTTCTTCGAAAGCTCATTTGTCTTGATGTGTTTATCATCATACTCATACGTGTACTGTGATGGTGTCATTAACCATTAATGTAATTGGTGCCTGTGGGTCCATGCTTTTCGATCAACTTGGAAAAAAAATCTCACTTTGCTTAGCACAAACATATTTGAAAGGTCACGTTTCTAAATATCCCTGGTTTTACCTGTTCAGAGATGACAAGCATAAAACGAATTAGGGCTTAACTGAGCGTGTACAATGTAGTGGTGGCAGATCAGAAGTAAGCGAGACCCAACAAGGCTATCCTTAGCACCTGCCCATCGATGTTCCATTGAGCTTACAGCTTTTCCGTAGACTTTAAGGAGACTAAGCTCTGTTTCTTAAATTTTTGAACTGCATGTTACTGGCTTCCAGCTAACGACCAGACAATGCACAATGTCATATATACATTGAAAGTCCTTCTGAAAATGTCATGCTGGATAAAATAAAGTTTCTGTATACAGACAGTTGCAAAAATAAATTCATGTTCTAGTTCATGTTTTGTTCTCCAAACCACACAAAGGCACTAGTTTACATTAAAGACTAATGTCCTGCAAAACTTCAGTCACATAAAGGAAGCTATTTTAAGGTTAAAGTGGTGCTAAAACCCAGCTGTCACTAGTAACTTAAAACAGCCACACTGGGTTTTTCAGATTTAGTGGGGGAAAATGTTTTGCCTCAGGATGTACATGTTGGGGGGAGTGCGGGGCGGGGGGGGGGAAGGCTCAGCCTTGAGCAAGTTTTTACAACGGAGTTATAAACCAGGTTTATAGAAACAGAAACTGGCAGACCCTAAAATATGATATAGTAGGTATTGATACGCATTTTGCGTGTGTGTTGAAAATGTCTGTATGCACACAATTTTTCCTTGTTGTCTGATTTTTGGTTATTGAAAAGAAAAAGGATTTTGATTGAACTATAGTCCAAGGCTGTTCCTTTTCACTTGATGTGTTTGCTAGAACACTTTCCTTCCAGCACTAGTATTTTGGCTAGGGAGCGGGAATGTTGTCAAGATTAGAAAAGCTATGGGGCTTAACTTTGTTATCGTCTCCTACCTCCTCAAAAACTATACGCATCTCTACTTGATGCAGGTTACTGCAGAGAAAGCATTACTTTCGAAACGGTAAGGTATTACTGTACTCACCACAAATAATTATTAATTAAAACCTTTCCTCAAGGCTTTATTTTTCACCATGGTGAATTTGCTAATGAACACTTGGGCAAAATTTGGATCAACTACATATTGGTATGTTTTCACTATAGCTGGAAGGTGTTCGGTAGCCACAGTTTGCAACGCTGGCACGGTCGTGGTGCTGGGAGCGAGGTGGTAAGATGTCTTTGTGATGTACTCCACAAGGCGGTTGTACTGTTGTTCCGATAGTCTCTCTCTAGCTCCATCTGCCTGAAATCAGACAAGATAAAATAGTTACTGAGTAACTGACAGTAACTGAACTTAGTAGTAAGGACAATAACTTCCACATTACTTTCTGTAGTTAAAAATCCTCCTCCCTGGGATCTTTCTTACAGTAGTTTAATGGATGTTTTAATCGAAGCGTTCTCCCATAGTTTAGTGCTTGGTGGATTAGTCCTCTCCTTTGCTGTTTTGGACACTGCCGGGAAGCTCTAACTCTGCCATAGAAAATTTAAGCAGTATCTTTTGAGAATTTCAGGGATGGACACCTTGGTAAAGAGCAGATCTTTACACCAGATCAACTCTTTGTAGACAGGAAAAGCATCTGAACCCCTTTTAGAAAAATGCCAGTAGCTCTTGGCAGTGCTTATCAGATAGCAATTCTAATTAGCAAAAACATTCTCTCACAAAGTACAACTAAAGACAGCCCATAGCTATATCTGGGCAGTTAAGTTTAAGTCTTTAACTTACTTGATTTAAAATAAAGAATAGAAGCTACCTTTCAGGTGAATGTTCGATGACGGGATATATCCATCTGCTTCTGGTAACCAAAAAAGCCAGCCATTCTGGGTCAGAGGACCCACACAATTACATTTTTTTTATACAAAAGGGTTTTACTAAAGATGGTTTTGGCATGTCGTTTCTGGAGAAGAAACTAGGGTGTCTATGCAAACTGCCTTTTCCACCACCGTGAGTTGGAAGGACTCCTCTGAAGAAATCCCTTTTTGCAGGCTGAAATACGTAGAGGTTCAAGGCTCTAGCAAGAGGGATGCAAGTAACCTACCGCTAGTGGAAAACAATACAGGAAAACAAATAGTCAACAGAAAGGGGGTATCTACCATATTGGTTCCAACCAGAGAAAGTATTAGATGAAAAGCCATGGGCAAACCTGGCTTTGGAAGATCAGTCTGCTGTGCCCTTTTTTTGAAGAAGAAATTGAAGATGACTATGGCTAGCTTGAGAAGGGGAAGAGGGCAAGCAGGCATCAAGCTAGTTGTATGGTTTCAAAAAAATCTATTTTGGAAATACCACCATGGATGCTACAGTCGTATCACTAGCAAAGTCATTCAGAATAGAAGTTATTTCCAAAATATGACAATGGACAAAAAGGCAGATGCTATCCTAGGGCTAGGCTTTGATGCTTCCTTATTTACACTTGGAGAACTGCTGACCAGTTTCATTTTTGTAGGGTTTAAAATGTCTGTCTTTGTTGGATGTCACGCTAAGGATTCAAAGACTGTTATCTTCTGACTGTCTTTCAAGGAGTTTTACACGTGCCTCACTAGATGTGATGATATTTTCAAACAGTGCCATTGGATTCAATTTAACACCCACGATCAATATCTTGTCACATCTCTGGTCTGCGAGGCTCATTTTAAACAAACCATTGCTTATTTGAAGAAAGAATTAATATGATTGATAGATACTGACAGATGTCACATCCAAATCAAAACAGTCCCCTCTGGTTTTTTTAGTATGCCTTTGGAGATGGATTTGCTGCTCAGCAAGTAGAAACACTCCTGTTTTCAATCATCACCACAAAAATGCTAAAGGAAGCAGGCTCACGAACAAGCTCAGAAGCTCAAGGTTGGAGCCTATGCCTAGAAACAGCGGGAATGATGAAGTGGGCAGAGGAGAGTGTGGTTTCCATGAATGACCTTAAAGGGAGGGAAAAATCAGAAAGCAGACTGCTGCAGCAGACTCAGGGCTAACAGTAGAGAGCGGTGTCTGAACCACATCTTCTGACTGGTGGCACAGAAAAAGTATCTCAGCAGTCAGCCTGTTTTACCAGTTGAAAGGAGAGAAATACGCTAAAGTACCCCCTATGTAAACGAGATTTTAAGTTATGGGGTAAATCTTGCATGTAGGTGGCTCCACATTTTTTCCTGGTTTCTACTCCTAGGGAGATAAGCCCAGGGGAAGCCGGGTTGTAGTTCTGCCTCCCCACTGACCAAAAGACCCAAGTTATCAAAGGAGATGGAAAGGGTGCTGGCATCCCACTCACCTACTCTTGTGAACCCATTCTTCATTCATCCCCAGGCTATATCCCACAGACACAGCATAATTATTCAGGAGGAAATATTAACTGCACTTGGATGGTCTTCCAAAGTAACTGGGACCCTACTTGCTTCCAGATGACTTAATCTGCAACCATCTGCTTTTCCAGCCAGTTTCAGTTTAGCTTATATTGTCAAGACAACAACAGAAACTTGGAATTGCTGTTATTCTACATTTTTTCCTAAATGGGACCTAACATTGTCAACTAAGTGCCTTAGCCCACTGCTTTGAACAACTGTAATGTTAATAGCCAGACCATTCAATGAAATCAAAACTTAGTCAAGAGTTGCTTAATGCACCTGCTGGAGGAATCTCAAAGGTACGTCCTTTCATGCTAGAAGACCATAATTTTGTGATAAGAGCTCCAGAATTTTTCTAAAATTCCTCCCATTACAGCTTATAAAGAATAAGCCTTCAGCAATTCTAACTCTACAGTAGCTACAGCGCCTTTGTTGTGCAGTCCAGATGTGTGTGTAGCGCTGATGGGCTGCTTTGTGCACACTGACTAAGGAAATCCGGTTCTTTAGGGTTTTTTTCACTGCTTTGAAAAATCCAGAGACTGGTTTTCAGCTCCAGAGATGATAACATGTAGTACTATCATGTAAACCCTGTTGCAGATCATCACAAAGAAATTCTGGAATATCTGAAATTCCAGGGCCCTTCAATTTTTTGCTGTCGTCTTGATGTTATGAGCTATACCAAGAGCAGCTGGAAGAGCAGGCCTTTTGAGTTTGATGTCTGTCTGGAAGCAAGCAGCGTCTCAATTACTTTGGAAGATAATCCAAGTACAATTAATGCTTCCCTTTCAATAACAATGTTGTCAGTGCCAGAGTTTTCAATAATCCATCCAGGCTATTCCTAGCCAGATGGATTAAGTTATATATTGTGGAGGCGAACAAGCCATCAGGCAAACCTATTGCTGAAGGAGTCAAAATATTGTCTATAACATCTCTGGTGATTACAGCTGTAGAATAACTCATGTTTTGTTTCCTAATAGTTCCAAGAAGCTGAGGAGAGGGAAGGGGAGAAACTGTTTTGGGCAGAGCTGAAACAAAGCTTTTGGCAATTATTTTTGTGAGCAGTAAGACAAAAAAGTGCGTTTTTATAATGTTGACATGAAATGTTTCAATTTATTCTATTATTTCTAGGATCTTTGACTAAATTAACCAGAAAAATAGACGTAATTTATGTTTGGTAACATTATATCTATTTTGCTAAACTCACCATAATATTTTGGTTGACCTGACTGGGCATTTTCCAGCTAAAAATTCTGGCCATCTTTACTAATGTCGTCATGTACAGATGTGTCTGCATTTCCGCTGAGGGCATCTTCAGTGCAACAAGATGGCCTACCATTAATATTTAGGAGTCGTGCCTATTTAGGTGTAGGTCTGCAGCTCTGAGGCTGCTCACCTGCAAGTCACAGCTTGCTGCTCCTAAGGTTCCTTTTCCTAATCACATTCAAAGAGTTTTTAGAAGCTGTTGTCAGGGAGCTGAAGGGGAGGCCCTGGCTCCCACCAGCACCAGCGCTGCACACAACACCCCAAGCACCACAGAACTGCTTAGCTGCAGAGAGGAAATTACTAAGTATGACATTTCCCAGTCCACTAAGGCAAAAAACTATAATAAACATTAATTACAAAAGAATATTACTTAACTCTAGGCAATTACTAAAACTTTATGAAGCTTCTGGAATCTTTTATTGTGTAGCTGCCTTAGCATAAAAAAAATTTAGACTTTCTTATTCTTGTCTGCCTTACTTTCAACTGCTCCTCCTTATAGCGCATTTCTTTAAATTTTCACACAAATTTCAGCATCAGCGTCTGCATTCCAAAGGAATATTTTGCCAGGTCTGTTTTGTACAGCATCACTCAGCTTTTGCTGTCTTGTCATCACTGACTTTGCTCCACCTGGGGCACAGGCACTCTTCACCACTTTTGTCATGCCATATGTTTTCACTGCATTCTCAAGAGCCTGCGTCAGCAAAAGAGATTGTGTACTGAGGCTCAAGGCTTACAGCTCCTGGCATTGCTACACCACTGGAGTAGGACTCCCACATTTCTATCCAGAACTTCAGAAGAAAACCACGTATTTGGTCCAGTACCTCCAAAGCAGGCCACATTTACTGCGTGGACTAGCATGTGTATGTGGGAACGTTGGACTCCGCACACGCCATGTAGGGTTACGCTGTGCATGTACAGGAGCTACTTGCCCACAAGTCCCATACATTCCCAGCTGCAGCAGCTGTGGGGACTGGAATTAGGCTCCCTGTCCCTCGCCTTCCCTTCTCCCAGACAGGCAGCCCCTCTGCCTCATCACCCTCTTGCAGCAACCTTTGAGCAAGCGGCCCTTCCCCCAGAGCAGCAGCCTACTCCTCACCCCTTGGGTAACCACGTACAAAGACAAGAGCCATCGCACTACAGCCTAATAAAAAAAGATCTGGGCTGGTGCTAAAGTTAGGGTTAGGATGGGCTGGTGCATCAAATGCCTTAGGGAGAACAAATTATCTTCCTCTTCCCTCCAGGACAGTAGCTCTGGACTGAGCAGGACAGTCTGGATTCAGTCTGATGTGTGCCTCCAGCAACCACGCAGCACTCAGGGATAAAAAAACTGAGCTTTGCCCACTTGCATCAAAATTTAAGTAATGCCTCATGTAGCTTTGTGGTGAGAGAAGGCAACTTCAGTCAACAGCACTCTGTGAGACTGAGGTTAGTGGAAAGACAATAAATGTAAATAGAGAATTCAGCACTAAAAAAAGCTTTCAAAAAAAATCCGAGCACTGTCAAGACACAGATGAAGTTCTTGCTGTGCTGGAATCGATGGCAAAACTCTTCAGTGACTTCAGCAAAGTTAGGATTTTACTGAAGGTGCTGAAGCCTCCCCTACTTTTTGGCACACCTCACACTTTGTGGGGTTTTACATATGTTCTTTTCGTGTATTTGAAACAGAGAAATTTCTTGTATAGCAGTCTATGAACTACCTGACACACTTTTTTAAAAACAACAACTGGGACATGCGTGTTTGTTTTTGAAATGATCTCTCATATGATTCCACTTGAGAATTTAATACAATAAACATTGTTTCCCGAAAGTGTAAAAATATAACATTCTTCTACCATTAAAAGACGATAATTCATCCAAAACCTCAGTATTCAAATGGCTTAGAGATCTTTCAATATGAAGATGAAGGATTTATACTCTTACTGGCAAACACTTGGTGCATCCAATCTCAGCAAAAGAACTGATCCATTTTAAAGTTAGCATTTGCAGAAGGAAGATCTAAGGAAGTAAATACAGCCAGCAGCCAAGTAAGACCACTGCATTGGAAGTGGCAAGATAAAACACGCTGAAAGGAGCACGCATCAGCACTGCTGAACTGTTAAAACAGAATTCACAGAAGAATAAAAGGAACTGTTCCCACTGTGACTTTGTAGGCACAGGCAGCAAATCCTGACTTGCCAAACAATAAACACCTCACGCACATGTAGTCATGAGAACCTCTTCAGAAAAGAGGTGGTGCTTACCAAGAACCCAGACTTCCTCTACTTTTTCCCTCAGAAAATTGCTGTCACAGATATGAAATGTCATGATCAATAAGAGGACAGAAGGGAGGATACATGTCCCTTTCATCCAAAGGGCAAAACAGTCAACTATGAGGTGCATGAAAACAGCAGGTCCCCTGCTTTGGCACTTAGACCTCTGGCCTCCTGACCCAAAGGTGAGTATGCCCGTTGCCAAAAGCATCATCATCAGTGTAACTTTATCTTCGAATGAAAATCGTACTCAAGTCTTTACCTCCAAATCAGAAGGCACTCTCTGTTGTTTTAGCTGCACCTTCAGCAGGTCTTTTTGCTGATCATCTTCCAGACAATCAATTTCAGTCACGGGGAATGCCTGCTGCTGCGTGTCTTCACTGATGCTGACCACAAAGAGCACCTCCGAGGTGAGCAGCAAGCAGCCTTCATGCTGCTGGCCTGATCCACTCACAATCATGACGTCTAAGGCCATATGGACCTCCGGCCTTCCTAAAGATTGCAGCATTTTCCTGCATTATCAAGGGGGGAAAAAAAAAAGAAAAAAAAAGGAGGAGGAGGAGGAGGAAAACAAAAAAGAAGTAGTCAGTGTTATGGCACTGGATCCTCCAGGACTTCTTTTGATCACTAATGTTTTTACTTAAGCCTGTAGCTATCACCTACAAATATAAAACAAGCCAGGGTGTATATTCCAAATCTCCATTACTGAAAGATGTAAGACTTAAGATTTAGAGAATCAATGTGAAACTGTTATTTATCAAAACTCCTTAATCATTCACTGCAAAATTGGCCTAATAACGGTGCTAGGTCAGCCTATTTCCCATCCTAATACAAAAATTACCCTGAGAAGTGGCTTACAAATTCAGTGCAGAATATAAAGCTATCTTCACTAACAGCTGCTTCTGGAGATGTGCAGTATTTTTCTTGGGCTCAGTGCAATGAGAAATAAGTAAGAACTCACTGAATGCCATTAAATAAAGATCAGCTCTGTAGTTCCAAAGCTGGAAGCAGATCAGCAGCCCATCATTTGCAGACTGGGTTTCTATGCACTACCTTTGTGTTTAATGTTCCTAAACAAACTGCCATAACTCAGCCTTTCCTAGAGAAGCAGCCTGTTAACTTGTCCGCAGGCCAGAACCTATTAATAAACAATGTGGATGTAAAAATGAGCAAGTGTCTAAATAATTTTACCAGACATATTTGACGTGGCTATTTGGAGCCTGCTCAACATGTTGATCATTTGGATGAGAGCGCTGCTTGGGAAGCTGAGAAAGTCCAGCTCCATGCAAAATACCTGTGGTAAGAGAATTTAAGATTTTTAGTAGTTGTTTTCTACAAAACAGTTACATGTTGCAGTGACGTCATCTGTTTTGAGCAGTTCATAAAATAGTGCAGATCCAAAATGATGTCACATCTTTGGAAGCTGTAGTCAAGATAATTCATTAAATATTACAATGCAAGAGTTGTGCACTTAACCCCAGTGATCTTGCATTAGCAAGAAACAAAAAAAACCCACTGTGTGTTCTAAAAATCAGACATACACTTGCAATCCAGAGAAACACAATGCTCCTGAGAGCCATCATTTCAGAGTAGGATCGGACACACCACTTAGGATTTATGTAGAAAAAATCAAGACCGTTGTTAACCTTCTTGCTTAATATTAAAATACTTCCATATACGTGTCACTATCGGTACAAATTAGAAGGCAAGTTTGCCTAGATACTGTATTTAAATGTTCAGTTAGTTAATCCAGCTGTTAAACACCGATCCATATACATTTATGAGATCTCCCGGGGCATCTGGTTTATTGTGAATTCTTCTTAGTGCCAGCACAGAATGGAGACTACAAGAAGCAGTTAAACAGGTTTCTGAATAGACTATCCAAAGCTGAAGATGATACAGTATGTACGCTTTCAGATGGCTTGTAAACTTTCAAAGATGAGGTATGGTCACCAGAAAGAATGAGTGGGTTGCAAAAAAATTCACTAATTAAGTCGTTTTAAAAATTTTTACAAGACAGACAGGAAGTAGGTTAAGCAGCAAGCACTGGTGTTATATGGTTTAGTGCAAAGTTACTCTTTAAATAGACAAAGACATTTTCTTTTGTCTAATTAAGCATTCCATTGAAGCAAAAGACATTTTTGCATAAGGGTGTCAATAACTTAGATTCCTTTTTACACAATGGATAATAATTTAAACAAAACATCAGTGCTGAAAAAAAACCCTTTAATTTTTAGCACACATGTTGATGGTAATACTTAAAAGCAGCATCCCAGTTGTAACAGTTGGCTTACCGAGGTTCTCAGCATTATGTGAGTGAAAATGTTATTTACAGATGGAGAAAGAGAGAACATGTGTTTACTTCTGTGTGGTCCCCCACCCCTCGGTCCCCCCCAAGAGGCACGGTCCCACTTCCAATCCAGTTGTGGGTAAGAGTTACTTGAACTCTTGTGTGTTTTCCTCTCACGCACTGTCAGCTATTATTGATACAGTTTTTATGTTTTTTCCTGGCTAACTCTTTTTGTCACATGCTCATGGAAAACATGGTGTCTCGTATACCCTATCTGCAGTGAAAAGTGTCCCTCTACTGTTACAAGTTCCTTGATAAAGACTGCAGTGGAATTAAACCTAGAAAGAATAATGCCATGGACAGCAAAACCAACACACAGCCAGCCGACAACGGACAAAAGTTTCTGATTTTACCGATACAGGTTTTACACCTATGGGATGCATAATACAGGAGAACAGTTATTATTTACACTCATACAAACATGATAACGTTAAATTGAAAGAACTGTAATAATTAAATGTTTCATTATTTCTTCAAATAGATTGCTTCCAGGAATGAATTCTGAATGTAACGGGAAGCGTGGAAGCAATATCCTAAACTTAAGCCCTAGGAGAACTACTCGTATTCTAACCAACCCATCACAAACATAAATATTGCTAGCGACTACAGGCTTAAATCTTCAAGGTTTGTCCGGTGTAATTAGTGAAGCAAAATTATTGACACATTGTCCTTGTATCAACAGGTCTCCCTGCTTTTCTTCCCTGACTGCCCCCCCTGCCCCCCTCTTAAATATCCAGACCAACAGCTTTGATATATTGATACTGGAAGCAAAGAAATTAGTGTATTTTGATATTTTATTTTTATCTTTTACAGTTTTTGGTCATCCAGAAGTATTCACGTAATCTGAAAGGATTCACCACCACCGCCACTAAGTGCTCAGTCTAGCTGGACAACCCACCTCTGGTCGTTAAAAGGGTGCCCATGTATCCAAAAATGGGACTGTCTTCTCACAACTCTCCAGTTTAAAGGGGATGCTCCCACTACGCGACTCACTTCTTTCTCCCAGGAACATGAGTCTCTCTCTGTGCAGAGATAGCACAACTCTTCCCTTGCCGTAACAAAGCAATCTCAAAATAACACTCTAATTGGATATAGTGTTGCTTTAATACTTTTATGTCAAAAACTCTTTTGTAAGCACATATGTTTCTGTAACTAATTCTACTGTATTCCAAGAATTACTTCATGCTTTCTGCATTCTGTGTTTCTGTGGCTGTACAACGCTGATCGGTAACACAAGAGAGAAGCACAACGTGATGGCTTTTAAGAAAACCAGCACAACATTTATAATTATTCAGCAGTGGCATTTCTAAATTCTCAAGTCACACAGCTACTGGGCCAAATAAGTAAGACACAGCAGGTTGTATCTGAAGAACATTTTAAAACTTAAACGGAGATGTTGGAAATAAACTCACCGTAACCTGTCTGGGAGATGAGCTCAGCTGCCCCTCCGATGGGCTTTGTGAAGACGCCCATGATTCCTTTCCCCACACCCGAGATGACCCCTCTTGCTTTGTGCCCGGCTGAAGCTTGGGCCTCAGACACTCGCTGAAAATTCTGCATCGGCTGATCCACGATCCCAGCAATTGCACCTGAAAAAACAAGAGTCCCCAGTAATTAGTGAAGATTAATATCCCAGAGTAAGAGGAAATCTTACTACTGGACCTGAACGTTGCTTGGATTACAGACTGTACCCCACCCTTCATATACAGCTATTTAGCACACGACCAATTAGCTAAACAATACCTTAGCTTCAGTTTAAGTTAAATCTCGACTTCCTTTTTTTAATGTATTTTACTTTTTTAAACATTCAGATCACTTAACATGACAGTATGCTTTCATCTTTCAACTACTTTCACTAAATGCTTTTGCTGAGTTAGTTTAATTTAGCTCATTCTGTAGCAATTCTGAAAATGTCAGGCTCGGAATAAAACCCACCCGTTTTAGAAGACTTGAGCTGTTATGGAAATGAGATTTTCACGTAAGCCTGAGATCGACTTCATGAGAATAAAAACTGCCTGTATTCAATAGATCATTTTTATATCCTCTTCCACTGCCAGAAATGTTCATAAGCTAACGCAACTTTTGATATATTACTAAGATTAGCAGAATTAGACTTTGAGACTTTTTGTTACTTTTTTGTGAAAACGATCATATTTTACTTTAATGCGCATGGGTCAAACTTTTACAAGTGACACAGTGACCTTCCCAGCTTTTAGTATCAACAGAGAACTCTGACTTAAATCTTCCTAAATGTAAACAGGTATGTGAGGTGGTACATTTCTTTGATCTTGCATTTACTCTAGCCACTTAACCACAGACATGTCTCTAGTTATTGTAACTTTGATAGATAAGCTATTTGGAAATCGCTAAGAGTACAAGGATTGGACAAAGTGACATCAGTTAGAAAACGGTCTGCCTGATCTGAGGTTCTTTGCTCAATGAAAAGCAAGTTTGCAGCCTCCTCGGCTAGCTCTCAGTTTCCACCTTCAGCTGCAAATATCAAGATAAAACAATTACTTAAGGAGTAGGTCCGAGTGTCACCTTGGTAACCAGGCATTTTTACTGCAACCCAGACATCTTTGAAGATTCTGCTTTGTGTGTGGAAGCAAATCCAGGCATAATTCCACAGATTCGGACAATCACAGCCGAGGTATTTGGCCCCATGTGTTTACCAGCGTGACATGCACTAGTCAGCTAGCCGCTAACAGGTTTTCAGATGGTTTTAGTTACCATTACTGGTTAAACGGAGAAGTTGCTAACTTTGAACAACAAGAACTAATATTGTACTTGTACGCTGGTATTTTGTCGAAAGAAAAGATGAGGATGAGAAGCAGCACACATTATCCCAGATCCTTGTCCTTGGGATACTATCTATCAGCAATTCAGGAAACTTGCATCCCCCATAAATGCCTCCCTCTCCTCTTAGAGAGATTGCTTCCAACTTCTGTATGTGTACCCTTTACTGATAAATGCATAGTATTTTCCCAGAAAATGCTGATCTATTTTTAATGCGGTACCCAGTTTTTATTAAGCTCACTCACTGAAACTGAGCGCGCAGCTGAACGTTCACCCTTTGTACCACAAAGGCCATGAAGCTTCCTTAATGCCATGCCATGGAAATTATACAATTTTCAACTGAATTCTGTTTCATTAGTACTTACCAGCTGCTTCTGCTGCCTGACTAAAATAATACCCCAACACCGCATTACACAATTGGGATTGTTCGTCCAGTCTTTTCTTTTGTACAATTGGGATGCATTTGAAGGCATAAAACAATACTTGGTGTTCTGCTGAGTTACAGTATTACGTTACCCTGTGACCTCCTTCACCCTATCTATCGAGGTCATCCACAGCAACTGCACTTTCAGAACAGAAGTTATTGCCTTATTAAATGTAATCCACCTAAGTCCTAGCACTAGTAAATTATTTACTGCAATACACTTGAGCAATGTTATAAGGTAATAATAAGTAAGAACCTACTCCAAAGGACCTGTGGTATGCTCCAGGCACTTCTCAGCTGGAATTAGGCCCAGAGGACAGGGAAACAGAATGGAAACTGCTGTGACTGTGTTATATAAGATTATTTATGTAGTACCCCAAATAATATATAGCTTAATTAGCCAGTTGTACTTCCACACTTTCTGTTATTCTGCCATTTTATGCATGCTCTGAACTTGTCTGTGAAGCCATTGCGCTTTCGCACCTCAAATCCTTTTGCAAGTCCTGTCTTTCTACCTGCAAAAAATGTAACCAATGATCTTCTCTTTCCTCTCTGCTCACCCTTTGTAATCTCTTATCTCAAATTGCAACTCACTGACGTAACTCATACACGTGCCATGGTCATGCCCACAAATCACATAAACTATAACCTCACTCTTTTCGTTAAGGAGTGGCTGGTCCTACCACCCTTGCATGGGGAAGCCAGATCCGTGCAGCTCCTTTCCTGCGTGCATCATGTGTGGGCAAAGGAAAAAAAAAAAAATAGGTCAAAGGCTGAGCAACCTCAAAACCCAACAGCAGTGAGATAATGGTGACACACACGTGAGGTTCATTGCATCTCCTAGCACCAGAAACTGTGCGAAGCAGATGTCCCCTGGCGTCCATGTGGCTTCTTTCTTTCTAACATAAAGTTAGTGGTAGGAACACCATGCTGGATGGACTTACCACAGAAGATCTCTCCTCCCAGGTTTCAGTAGGGTATCAGGGAAGCAGAGCATGGAACCACATGTAGTGTTTCCTCCCTTCCCACTCTCATTCTCACAGTCTAGAGACAGCTATGGTGTCCTACTGCTGTCCCTGTCCCTTCTCTATAATGTCCCTTGGCCATTTTTTTTTTTTTTTAAATGAAACCATTCTCCATTTTTCTTTCCTTCCTTACCCTAGGCATTCAATTTTATATGCATGTCCACATATGTACACACAGATTATGTATGTATAAAGAAAACCTCAATAAAATTAAACACCAAAGCAACAAAACAAAAACATATTCTTCCATTACTGGACCAAAGAGATTCCAGCAACACTGTAACATCTGCTAAACATCAGCTGGGGTGCACTCTGGTTAATACATGTTGCTCAGTAACCATAAAAAAGATACTTTGATAACTACAAAATTCAGATAGTTCAGAGTATATCACTGTATTACTTCAAGAAGAATTTGATTACAGGCAGCAACTGGTTCCTGTGCAGACTGACAATGTTTGGTGAACGTAGCACGGCTTACAGAACTTAGCAAAGCTCAGGTTGCTTGTGACAAACTCTTTCAGACCACGAAAGAATTGGAAAAAATCCCCCACCAGGAGAAACTGGCCATGCTTTGCCATGAGGCTGGAAGCTAGCCAAGCTGAAACCATTTTGCTTCCTTTTCTTTTCTGTGTTGTCCTTCAGGGTTGCTGCAAATGTTTCACACCGAAAATACAGCTGGAGCATAGTCTCATCACAGCAAACATCACATAAAAATACAGCTAAAAGAAAAGGGCACCTGTTGGCGTGCATTAATATATTTGCAGAATTAGTGTGTGGAATAGCACACACCTTCAGGATTAGCACCGGCTCTCAGTGTGTCTGTAGACAGTCAAACAGAGCGGCCCCGATTCAGCGATAGTTGCACAGTAAGAACAACAACCACCACCCTTAATAACAAAAATTTGAGCTTCTGACATCCAGGCTTTACCTTCTCTAGCAGCAGAGTTACACTGTCAGTCAGTATTACTATCAATTCACTTTCCCCAAAAGCAGGAAGGAGTAACTGAAATGTCGAGCACTTTTGCCTTTGTGAAAAACGGCTTTTCATTAGAAGTGTCTGCTTTTCGGTTATTCAGATATGCTCAACTTCCTAAAGGGAGCTACTTCAATACAATATTTTTCACTAGAACCAGTATTTGAAAATAAAGCCTATAGTTTCAATGTTCTCTTTTACACGGTTATAAATTATTATTTTAAGCTTGACCCTGTCATGCAAAATGCAAAAGACAGCTCCTTGGTGGGGAGTGCCGATCACCTAAATAGTTTAAATACAATTTCACTGCATTTTTGTCTAATCATATAAAAGAAAAAACACACCTATCATAAGCTTTTGCTTCTTTGCATGCACAAATGTTACTAAAATGACCCAGAACTCTCCCCCAAACTAGAAAAGAAGACGACAGCCTGCCAAAGATAACAATCAAATCAAACAACACCCTGACAGCGCTTGAGTCATTTAAAACGAGACAGGACAAAGCACTTAAGAATGTACCACAGGGAACAACTTGCACTGAGGAGGAGACAAGAGTACATGATTTTGGCCCTGATTCAGCAAAGCACTTAAGCATGTGCTTAAGAGCTTTGCTGAATCAGGGCCACCATGAGCCAGATTTTCAGAAAAATCAGAAATGCAACTCTTCTTTCTGCGTAGATACCCTAAGGTATCGGTGAACTGAGGGCTCTTACATGCCTTTGCCTAGGCACAAAATCTGCATTTGCAATTCTTTAAGCTGCTTGCATGAGTCAGATGGCTTCTACAAACATGATAGTACTGTGACTGTCCTAGAAATCTTTTTCACACTTCTCAATTTTACAATTAGAAAGTCACAGAAATTACAGCTTCAAAGGGTCTTGTTCTCTGCATTCCTGTGCTCATCTGAACTCTTCATCCTTGTGAAGGAAAATAACATAGCAGCTCCGCTTCATTTCGTTATGTATGAAGAACCTGGAAGTGTATTTAGAGTAAGCATGTTCATGTTTACTCTGAACGTGCTGATGAAAGAAAGCAGCACCGTGATACCTCCCCTTCAACTATGACTGTTTTTTTGGGGGAAGCCACAATATTCTTCAAACTAAATGGTCAGGACAGAAACAGCTTTCCGACATGTTTGTAAAAATTGAAATGTAGGTCTAGTCATAATTTACATCTCGACACAATTTACATGAATGCTGCTGTGCATACACAGAAAACATGCTTTTGAAAAATCAGGTTTAAATAAAAAAATTATGCCTGATACAAATTCAGCAGAATATTTCTGATTCCTCCCTTAGTGAGAGGTCCCATACTTGTCAAGTCCAGCTACACAGTAACCGTAGCTATTTATCTGGGTGCTTCGTTGCCTCCACTGCTAAGAACAGAGGTATTTAGCAGGGAGGAATCTCTGAATAACAGCGGGAGTAAGAACAAGATCCTAGCTTGCGGAGGAGCACTGTTTAAATGCTAATATGAAGCTCTAAGTTTCTAACATGAAGTCTGATTTCTTAGGAGATCAGGGATACTGAAATACTAACTCTTTTTTTCAGTTTTGTTTTTAACTCAGGCATACTCCTGCAAACAACTGAAGCCTTGTGCGCAGGGAGGTACAGGCACAGCGTATTTGTGCATGCATGTTACGAGTTCCCGGCTTTCCTGAAGAGCAGAAACTTTGCCTTGTTACAGCCAAAGCTACAAAGTTTTGGTCCTTAGTTCAGGCTGTACAGCTGATGCTTTTAGCTCTGAAGGGCTCTGGCATGTCAGTGAAGGGGATAGCCACCACGTTACCTTGCTGTCTTATTAATAACCGAGCCAAGATCACCAAACCATTTCACCAGCACACATACACCAGGCTTACACAGTGCTTCTAAAAGTATAATCTTTCATCCAGCTACTCAACCTGACTGCCCTTAGCCCAATAAAACAAGAAGGAAAAATAAAACCTTCTCTGAACTGCCTTTGATTTGCAACACCAGTAACAGCTTACTATTGGGATAGTAGCTACTAATAGATGAAATTTCTCCTTTATGCACATTTCTCCCAGGACACTCGCTTGCTGGTTTACAGGCATTATCAAATGACAGTGCTTCACATCATCTAATGTTATTGCTTAAAATAATTTCCAGTAACTTAACCCAAACTTGTAACATTTTTACCACTTCCTCTTTGGGGCTTTCAGGGTTGCGGTTGCAAATTTAGGAGTTGTGTACACTACTGAAGATTAGGAAAGAAGACAAATCCTTTCAAGCTTTAGCTCTTCTAACCTTTTGCACTGGGCTGCTTTTGGTCACTTTGATCTGTAAAGGATTCATACTCTTTAATACGTACTGAGGAACTCTGCCAAACAATACAGTTCTGCATTCCTTTGCTGTGTGACAAGTAGAAGTAACCTAGAAAATCCAGCCCCTTACTGCAAAACTTCTCGCAGAGGTTTTTTTCCAGTGCAGGTTAGTTTTCAAATTTTTAGGTACTATTTTGAAATGGCCAGAGTAATCTTCACTTCTAACTAAACCACTTGGCTGCTTGATGAATACAGTTACACCGAATCAGGATGATCTGGGTCTCTTTGTAAAAGCAGAATTCCTCATCAAAGCTTACTTAACATCTGCACTAAGTTCAAGTGGTTTTCAAACAAAACCAAGAATCCCCAATATCTGCAGTGCAGCAAAA